CAACAGACTATTTTGCTGGAAAAATATGGAAAAGTTTCAAAGGACGAAAAATAAAAGGAAAAAATATGTTAAAACTTATCATAAATTCAAAAAGCTCATCGCTATTGCAAGGCATTTTCCTTCCATTCGACTCATCGCTTAAGTATTCCCATCATTCGCATCATTCTCGGCATTGTCTGCGTCTTTCGTACTGTCTACGACGCCAGGACCTCTTCCAGAGAACAGCTGCGCCATTTATAAATTCCGCCGCTCGTTAGGATAATTTATGTGCGAAACATAAATTCGTTTTATTATTTATAATTTCGCAAAACATGTTGGGTCAAACCATTTTAAGCGCAGCGTCTAAACAGATAAAGTGCTTCATTGTTGCTAAAAATACGCCAAAAATCCAATTATAAAGTGAAATGCATAATAAAAAGATGTAAATTGTTCTCATTTATCCAAAAAAAACAAAAAAAAAGAATAAAATAAAACAAAAAACAAAAAACAAACATGAAATTGTTTCTATATTTTGTTTATTATTTATTTCACTTCAGGGGAAGGGTGTGCGTTTATTAGCATAATCTTAATTTAAGCATAACTTCTGTAATTTTGGGGAGTGTAGTAAAAGGATATAATGAGGATCTGTTAGAAATTGCCAAAGTTCATAAGTTTCCTATGCTTAATTCAAGAAATGTTGTACATTTCTACAAGTGTATCAAAAATTCTTTCAGTCCTTAAGGTGTAGTTTATTTCACCGTATCCAAAGCTAACATTAAAAGATTCAGTTAAACTCTCAAAAAAAACAAGAAACATTGGATTATAATATTAAGTTCCTCATAACGTGTTATGCATAAAAAAATATCAATATCAAAACACAAATACAAAATGTTTTAATAGAGTTTTCAATATAGAAAGCATTTCATAAAAATGTACCATACGCGGAAATGGTACATTTGGACCAAGAAATTAAAAAAAGATAGCACAGGAGAGGAAGGTCAACGGGTTAATTTTTAACATTTATCGAATAACAGGATATCAAAAAAAAACTATTAAAAAAAAATTTTCTGTCGAAAAATCTTTTATATCTGAATAACTGTTTATTCAAGTAACTTCATTCGCATATCAATTCTATGGAATACATTTCAGTTGTTTATATAATACCAGACCTAAGTAATAAAAGACATTTTTTTTATTTTATGCTTCAATATAGTCCTCTTTTAGATCGACACACTGAGTTCAACAATTTTTTAATATTTGGATCATCAAGTCCCTCAAAATATACCTCAGTTTTCCATTCCACTTCATTATTTGATACAAATCTTATTCCCTGCTTTCCCATGGCATTATTTTTAGAAGTATTTTTAGAAAATTATTTAACCTACAATTCGTGGTATATGTACATTTATGAATTTAATTTCAGTTAAATAAAATTTCCATAAATATAGCACAGAAATATTTATTTTTTTATTTTTCATTTTGGATTTAATTTAATCAATTTGGATTTAAAAAAATATTTTCTGGAAAATTAAAATTTTCAAAATATTTTCTTTTTATTTTTTTTTATTTAACAATTCTTAATATTAAATAAATTTATACAATTACAACTAGTATATTTTAAATATTTTTTTATGTTTATCTACCACCTCAGTTTCTCAATTTTCATCCTCATCTTGATTAAATAAATGATTAAATAAAAAGAAACAATAATTAAAATTCTCAAGTAAAGTTAAAGTTTCACTAAAGTGAAACTTTAGATTAAAATCTACAAACAGTTTATAATAATTATAATATTATTCATAAAAATTTGCATTTCAAGGCATATAAAATATAATTGAGTATAATTGATTTCTACCAAATATAAATAACGGATCTACCCGGATGCATTCATGGCGACAGAAACGACGAGAACACAAAGCACACCTTTTCTTTCTGTAACAAGTGACTCACACTAAATGAAGGGATACGAGTCCTGATTGAACAAATGAGTTCTGAATTGTAGACATAAGAGCGAGTTCAGAGACCTAGTCACACGGTCGAAAACATTAGTTTAAATTCAGACGGTGTGCGAATCGTGGAATAACATTAGCATGACTTTCTCAGTATTACGTTCCTAGATTAAGTTCTATATATAAGAAAGAATATATAAATCATGCAACAAAAAGTGGCTCTACAAAAATACAATTTAACAATTAAAAATAAAAAATATAATAAATTAAATCAATTATTCTATAGCTGGTTTATGATTTCGTTCTAATAAAAACACAGCAAGTGAATTTTTTAATAAAACTTTCACAACAAATTAACAAAACTCCAGAAAAATGTGCGAACAGAAAAGTCAAGTACGGTTTTGAGTCAGTTGTTTAAGGTTCGCTGACTCTGAGCTTCAAATTTGGCAGGGCACGAAGTCGATTTCTGATACTTACAGTCTCAAAAAACTGATTACAAACAATAAAATACAAGAATTATTTCGAGAACCGCTGATCATGAGTATCCCATATTTTTTGTATATTTTTATTATAATTTATACGTATAAAAAAAAAATTTTTTTTATTAAGATTTAATAAAGAACACTCATTGAACATTTAGATAAAGTATTAATATGAGATAATACTTATATTTCTTACAATATAATCAGAAAAATAAATCACCTTATCTACATTAAATCCAACAATACGATTATTTGTGGCTAATTAAGTTTTAATAACAAAATTTTTTCTCTTTGTATTTGTTTATTTATTTATAAAATGATTTTGCCATCACATTTTCCCCAAAAACTTTCTATTCTCATATCAAGTAGGTATACCACGAGTACTTTTCCAGTGCAAGCTGCTCCATACCAAAATATTCAACTGATTGATTGATATATTAAATGATTGATGAAGTAACTAATTGGTTTCTGGTGTACGTTCAGGCATCCTACAACCAGAGTATGAGATAAATATTAGTTTCGCTGAAATAGACGCACTTCAGTAGAAGCAAAAAATGTAATTCGTTTGTTCCTAGCCTAATTATATTCGAAGCAATGTATATATTTTCATTGATATTACATACAAATGCAAACTTTAGCTTAATATATTTAGCTTTGTTTGTAGCTGACAGATACAAATTCTAGCACAGCCAAAATACAGAAATACGTGAACGGCACTTTAACCTTTTGTTAGATAAACTATCAGAAAATAAATGTCATAAGTGATATAGACTTGATATCTTATCTGTACTTGCTCCCATACACTTTCGTTGTTAATATCGTAATAATGACAATTAGTAGAAGAAAAAAAATTAATAAAAGAATAATAAATAAAATTAATAACACAAAGGTTAATAGCAATTAAAGTTAAAGCAAAAGTGTGCTTAGATACTGGGAAGATAAATATGATGTACATTTCTCAAGACAATAAAATTTAGGTGCCTTTGGACATATTATCGGTTGGGCATCCGAAACAATTTCGTTGTTTTTCAATCGATTTGTATGAAATTTTTAATATAATCAAATTTAATAATTATGAAGTATTAAATGTTATTATATGAGGTTTAAATAAGATGAAATATATGAGGTTTTATGCAATCTGCGGTGTTAGATAATCCACACTACTAACAATTTATTTACAACCAAATGCTATACTCATCTGTTATCCTAGATATTTTTGCAATGAGAAGTTTTACCTTAATGTATATTTTTAAAGCATCGTAGTGATATATCTTTACAGTAAAACCCCATATTATATATACATGAAGCAGTACAAAACATTCGTCAATCAAAGTCCATATACAGTTCCTTATCTATAGTTACTTGCAGAGTTACAAGACCTTTTTTTCGATTTGCAAAAACCTCATTTTTCTCTGAATAAAAAAAAAATTTTTATTCTTATTTTTTATATATTATATTAATACCGTATTATCTTTTAAATATTTTTTACTGAAAACATGTATTTAATCGTGCACCGTCTCTCCTTGCTCACTTTTTGCAGCAAGCTATCTATATGTTCCTTTTCTTCATTTAAGGAATATAGGTAGAATAAATTTGTGCGTTTTTGTTGAGAAAGGATAATAGATTCTTCGCTTCGGTTACAGGAAAACGTTTCGTGATAGAAGGAAATTTTTTAGTAGAAAACTTTCGCAAAATACTACTACTATTGTCGATTTCCCCCAGTGGGGCATAGAGCTTCAATAATTCTTCTAATTCCGACTCTATTAGGTGCTTGTCTATAGATGTTTTTCCATGTATACCGTGCTTCAGCTAGCTCACTTTCGATTGTTCTTCTGCTACCTTGTGAATTCCATGCCAAAGCTTGCCTTGCTATATAATCTCTCGGTTGTCTAAGCGTATGGCCTGCCCAAATTAATTATCATTAATTTACTGATTTCTTAAAGATTTATTTTCATTTTATTTCTGATTAATTTTTCTTCTTCATTCTACAAAAATTTATGCGGTTGACAATTTAATGTTAATAAATTGTCAAATAAATAAATAATAAAAACCAGAAAAGTAAGCAGAGAAAATTTAAAGATATTTTTTATATTAATAAATTTTAATAAAAAAAAATTATTTTAATAAAACTTGAATATAATAACTTTTAATAAAAAATTAATTCTTTTTCTACTTTCACAGCGAACCGACCTTTCTTTCTTCCCTACTTCGGAGCACAATAATTCTGATGGCTTTAAGAATTAAAACACTCGATTGCGGTTTCATATTAAATGGTTTTCAGAAGAATTTGAAATCTGCTTATGACGTTGCAAAAGACACAGAAGAAAACAAAAGCGAAACCAAAAACTAAAAGAAAAAAAGACAAATATTTAATAAATGGAAAAATAAAAATTAATTAATTTTATAATAAAAATTTTAACTGTCAATAAACGTTTAAGCTGCAAAAAGCATTCAAACCCGAAGGACAAAAATTACCAAAGGACAATATAGCCTTAAAAAAAAGAAACAGAAGGCAAAAAAAAAATACAGAAAATACAAAGAAGAAATTGTTTTTACATAATATTCAGTAAAGACAAAGAAAAGTAAATTAAAAAATTAAATTATTTTTTTGATAAAAAGGTGTCAATAACAAAAACAGCCGTCGTGGATACCAAAGGTGATTATCAGGAGTCCGTGCCATTGCCACCGTGCCCACCCACCACACCGCCCTATCAGAGGCTGACCAAAGCGCTTCAATGCGACCCAAGATGTGGACACGAGGTAAGCTAATAATATTAATCAATTTTTTTCCATTAATTTAAATTATATCTATTTCAATTGATTAAATTGAACCCTTTGTTTATTTTTACGCTGTATATATAGTCAGGGCAATACATGACTATTTTTTTATAAATGAAATTAAAAAAGTTAAAAACAATTTAAAAAAGTCAAAAGTTATGCTTATATTTCTCACCACTCACCCATATCATGGGAGCTAAAAGACTCTTCTAGTACATATCATAGACTTGTCTTAGCATCTAAAATTAATTTAGATGTAACTCTAAACATTTCAAACATTTCTACTAAAATAATGTTCGTTTATTAAGGCATTCTCAACCTGTAAAAGGGATACAGACTTCTTAGGTAATATAGTACATAAAATATCAGTAATTGACCAAAATTTATTTTGCGATAAAGTAGACTCATTACATGGTGTATCTTGCCTGGTAAATAAATGGATCGCAATTTCCAATCGTAATCTTTCAGATTCGTCTTCAGATGCAGAGTTATCTATAAGGCTATAATCGTCTCAAAATATCTTCTCCAAGGTGGTAGTTCTAGTTACAGAAAATAATAAAAATCACATGGATCATATCAATATATTATGGTACTTCATGGATCACATATTTCTTCGCCAAAAAATATTTCACAAAGCCAGCGCAGAACATTCAAAAGTATAATTGCAGAAATAGCGTATATAAACACACTATCTAACAAGTCGCAATCAAATCTTGATTGCTAAAACAATACAATGTTACCAACTTATAAAAAATTCTGGTGACACTTTTTATATGAAATTTTTAAATTATTATTTTTGGATACTTTTTATGCAAAAGCTAAATAAAAACGTAATTGGCACTGTTGACGATAGAAAGATAAGATAGAATTAATCCATTAAATATTTTCTATGTTTTTATCCGAGATTACAGACGAAACGACTTCAATGTCTTAAAGAGCAAGTATTCACTGACTTGATGGAGATAATAAATATAGATTTTGTGCATTCACTAAGCTTTATCTGATAGCTCAATAGACAATATCAAGGAGATAACAGCAATTAGTGTAACTCACCACTCTCGGGCAAGTTTGAGAGCTTCACATTGGGCAATATGTGTCCGAGTGCAAATGCTGACAGTTATATCAGCACATGTCATCTCAACGCTAACCATTCAAATTTCATACAAACTGTTTGTACTTTTAAAGTAATGCCTCGTTTTCACTATGTCATTTTCAATGTCAAATATTGTCAGTATAATGAAAACGGATAGTCATATGTTGTGATATTCGCATTCTTGTCATTTGACACACTAGTCAATTATAATTGTCATAGTTAAAACAAGTCATAAGTACATGACGCCCATTCGTTTGATAAATACAGAGTAAGCATTACACTTTCTTTATAGTTAACCCATTCGTTATTAATTGAGAGTGCAACCAATACACAAAAACAGAAAACGATTCAGAAAACAAGTTATAAAGTTTAAAAATTTTTGTTACTTCTTGATTACACTCCATTTATGGGATAAGTAAATGCCTTATTCATTTACCCAAATTGTATTAGTTTTCTTTTAGTTTGAAAACTTACATCTCTTAAGTAATATTCGTTATACGAGTATTCTTGTGCCAAAACTGCTAATTTTTGAAACATTGTAATGTTGAACTCAACAGCGCATCTACGACCGCACTTAAGTATATCTGTTGAGTATTATTCTCAACTTTTCGATTATAAATTCTGCTATAAAGTGTACTCGAAAAGTTCATAAAGCCAGTGTCGTATGTGTTGGTGCACTTTTTTGTGGGAAAAAGTTGTTTTTTTAGATAAACTGTTAAAATTTTTCAAGCTGTTTTCAAAAACAGAACTTTAATTTTTATTTTAATAAATATAAAAAACATTTTATCATTATTTTCTTAAATGAAGTACACTCACTAACAACGTATTTATTTAAACAAATTCAATTAAATGGCAAAAGATATTACAGGTGCAAGTGCAAGAAAGTTTGTCTTACTTTCTATTATAAAAAAGAAAGTTCCATTCCTTTTGGATTATAATAAATGACTTTTCTTTCCTCTTTTTGGCGTATGCAACTTTGTAAATTTGTTGTTCCAAATGAAAAGTTTAACTGAAAATTGGTGGCAACAACAGATGCAAAACCAACAATAAAACGTTCTGGAAACAAACATCAAATAGCAACCACCGAAGTTTCAAGCAAACACATAAAATAATTACCCATAAGTCAAGTCCCGAGGATTTGAGAAACTTTGCGGTTGTGTACTAAAAATTATAAACTTTGGCAACTTTTGGTAATCAATTAATTTAACTGTAATTTATTAGTTTGAAGTGGTGGATGGCTTCGCATCCCACAGGAGAAATCAAAAATCGACAAAAGCAGGAGAAGGAGGAGAGGATGTGTTCCCAGCATTAAGCAAAACTTTCAAACTTTAAAGTTTGTTGCTTGAAGACTTCAAAATTAAAATAGAAAATGTGAAACTATGAAAAGGTAGCTTTCCACAATTTTCTAATGGATGTAAATAAATTTCACCTATATGAACAACGATATCATAATTAGTTGTTAATACTTAAAATTATAATTAACATAAATATAACCACATATAAAATATAACTTGGCATTGAAAACATTCCAAAAATAAATAGGGGTAGAATCATAGGATACTTTAGTAAAACTACAATAAATTCATTGGTTAAAGATAATAAATAAATAATTTTCCTATATAGCCTTACATCACCATAGAGTCAACTTATTGAAAGCCACAATTCCAATAACGTTTGATAGATTAAGGTCATAAAAACTTTTCCAGATACAATATTTATGCATAAAATTGAAACTGCAATTAAAATATTGACAATCTTTCATATACCACTCAAAATGTTTTTAGAGAATTTTTTAACAGAAATTTATGCATAAAATTTAATTTATAATGTCAGTTATGAAATAAGTCACTAGTTACCTAATAGAAATTATTGTATTTAATGGAGAGTTTTTCGAACAGTAGTAAATTGCAACAACAAAATTTTTATTATTTACTAATTCATTGAATTTTTGGCTGACCATACAGCTGTTTCGAATGTTGCCAAATACTCATCATCAGTGGTCTTATTTGAAATTATTTCTTATATTTTCTTATTCGTTTATATCTTATTTATTTATAATCAATTTAAGATTGAATTAGATTAGCCTAATATGATCTTCTTCTGATCATATTTCATTATTCTTTTCTTCCTTGTTCTGTTGTCTTCACTTATTTGGTGCTGTTAACTACTGCCTTGACTTTTGCTTATTTTACTTTAGTTTGCATAATACTTTCTCTCTCAGATCTGATGAGAGTAATTTCATGAAAATTTTTGGAGCAACGACATCCATAAATGATAATAAGTGCATGATACATATATTAGCTACGTTTTGTCAAAGTTTTAGTGAAGACTGAATATGAAAATCCATTTTTGTTGAGTAATTGTGATGCACACACGTAATACTGAAAAATGTGTACTTATGTATATATGTATATTCTGTCAGGATGAGAACGCAAGCCTTGATGACCTGATGACCAGATAACCTGCCAACAACCTGAACATTGTTTTACTGAGGACGCACCCTTTACCGAAGTAATACTTGCTTAAAGTGTAGCGCTAGTAGCGACTTGTTTCGATCACACACTACTTTTCTATCATAATATTTGAATATATAACTTAATACTCGCTTTTTTTTTTGGTATCTATTTAGTTCAAAGCAGGAATCTCTAACAGAGCAGTCTTCGTCTAGCATCCTTCTTTCTGTACCTAATTTATCGTTTGTACTATATAGTCTCATATAATCAAAAATTAAATGTTTTTAGTTTTCAGAGATTCTTTGTTATTGTGGTATACATTATATTTTGGAGTTACAAATCCAAGTTAATATTCTTCACCCTTTTGTATTCTACGAGATTCTACTGCTAATATGCTAGGTATTAGTTTTTTTTGTTTTTTGTCCATCCTAACAATTATTCACATGTGACTTTAAACGTGTTAAACTGACCTATACTTTGTATCCATAATTGAGTGTTAGCATGTGACCAATGGATTAATTTTCTTGGGATTTCGTGCCAATATTTCCAACCTCCACATTTAAAACACCTGCCACACAAATTCAACGAATAGCGCCAACCCGAGCGAGCAAATTGCTGATTGTTATATTTCTGTGTAATTGCATTAAGTTGTTGTTGTTCTTTTGTGTAATCGTGCCACAATTTTTGAATTACATAAAATTAGTGGGTGTCTCAACTGAGGCAAATACTTTTCAGATAATTTGTAGGCTTACCAAAATTATAAAATACAAGTGGTACATGTGATTTGTGCAAGGTCTTCGCCTGCTTACCCCCTGAAAAGCACTAAAAAGACTATGGGGCTTAATGCAGAAAAGCCGCAGTCACATTTTCCATTCACTGTTTGTATTATGTTGGAACCTTTTTGTTTTATTTCCTTTAATTTTTTCTTTTTACAGAAAAAAATTATTGCATTATTTTTTTTCTTATTTTTTTTTTTTTCGTTAGTTGCTTTTTCATATTTCAATTTTTTTTCTCTTCTAAATTTTCCAGTAATTGGATTTATGGTGGAAAAAAATGCATTATGAAATAAGTCATTAGATCTCTTGTTTTTGTTTTGTTTCTTGATTTCGTTTCTTTTTGTTTAATTTCTGCTATTTTTTCAAATTTTAATAATTTTCAAACTATAATTGGCCATTATGTTTTCACATCACAAATTATAAACGTGACAAAGTAGCGGGAATTCAGTTCTGCCTGTACATACCAAAAATTCAGCTTCTTATGGTATAAAATTGTAGACCACCATTCCTTTCTTTCTACTGCTCATATGTGCCCACTTACGAGTTAGAATATTCCTAAGGTAAAGCATGCCTGCTGTAACAGGCAACTGAAATTCAATAGTCACCACTCGGTACTCGGTACGCTTTCTTGTTCCTTTCAATATTTCTCTGACTGGATAC